CCCTCCAAAGACTTCGAATTCTGATTGATAGTCAAAGCCTTCAATCAATCAAGGAGTTGTGTCAATTTTTTTTTTCTAAATGATAAAAATTGTAGCCAGACCATTCCGTGTATGATGTGCAGAGTAAAATTATGAGAACTGATACGTCCCCAAAAATTGTTTTTGATAGAGCACGAATCTCAATGCATATTATAAGTTGGAAACTTTTAAATTTAAATTTGGGATATATGAATTACAATTTTCTACAAACTTATATTTCAAAATGAACATCTCGAATAGACGAACCTTAATGACACCAAAATCGGCCCAACCCGAGCCCAATGGGTCCAAATTGGGGGTTCAGAACTACATTTGGAAGGATCCAAAATATTATTTTGAGACAAAATAAATCCAATTAGCATGCTTATAGTCAAATCGAACGGCTCGGCAGACGAATCCAACAAGCCCAAGATTGTTGAATTTCGACTTCATTAAGACACTTAAAAATACAAAAACTCTCTATGATTGAGGGAATCAATAGGAGCCATCCGATGTAACACTCCAAAGCTGCCCAGATCTTCTCTATATTTATTGGAGTGCCACTCGCTAAAAATCTATAAATAGACCCAACCTTCTACATGAGAGGGGGGGAGGGGCTAGAGATGGGAAGAGAAATTCTATTCGAGACGTTCTTTGGGTAGCGGTCCGGTGCCCATAACTTCCTCGCTGAATTTCGGGTTCGAACCACTTATGAAAATCTATAAAATGACCCAACTCGCTAAATTTTGGGTATCGCTTCACCTGACTGGCAGTTAAGGGACCGGAATCCACCATCATCCCTAGTTTCAGCTAAAAAAAAACAACAATGCGCCAAATCAGAATAGAAAGCAACCCCACAAAGGCGTATACATGCTTCAAAGATCGAAATGAAAGGATACATACTTCCGATATGAAGAGAACGTCCTTCTCTTTTCCCACTTCCTCCTTTCCCCCGCTTCGCAGAGTCAGAGTAACGCCTCCGGCGAATCTTCATTAACACAAGGAAATCGAGGATGAGATGTGAGGATTTAAACGAAAAGGAGATGGAGCGGACCTGAAGCAAGGAAGACGCAACCCGCGGAGTGATGGGTCGTTCTCGGTGGGGGTTGGAAATGTGAGGAAGAAAGAAAATGGGTGAGCGGTTGGGGGTTGTTGTTCCTTTCTTTTAGTCCCTCACTTCGCCAAGATGCATTACAAAATTGCATAATTTACAGCAAAATCGACGCGAGGAAGAAGAAAATCGATTCGACGCAAATTGTTCTTGCCGCTTGACTTTCTCGTCTCCTTATTTTCGATTAGTTTGCTTGGAATCTAGCAAGGTGAAAGCCTCCAAGCAATCCATTCATTCTTCAATGTAGTGTGGGACGTGTGCCTCTATGTAACCAGATCGTGCGGTCGTTAATCACGTTGCGTGCACTGCATAGTGTCAAGGTTATAGATATATATAACAGACGAGGTTGTATGTTATAATCTAATTATATAATATTTAAATTATAGATATAATTTATAAATAACTTTTAAAAATTTAATATTTAAAAGTATTTAGTATTTAACAAAATTTAAATATTTTAAAAGTATTTGATATTATTAAGATAAATAACAAAATTAGATATAAATTTAAAATACTTTTAAAAAATTTAAATATTTGAAAGTATTTAAATTTATATTAAGATAATATAATAAAAATTAATTAATCATTCATAAATTATATTTATATCATTGGATTCGTCTCGCCGAGCCGCTCGATTTGACTATAAGCATGCTAACTGGATATTATTTTGTCATCCAAATAATGTTTTGATCCTTCCAAATGTAGTTTGAACCCCCAATTTGGACCCATTTGGGCTCAGGTTGGGCCGATTTTGGTGTCATTAGGTTTGTCTATTCGAGACGTTCAGTTTGAATATAAGTTTGTAGAAATTGTAATTCATATGATCCCAAATTTAAATTTAAAAGTTTCCAACTTAAATATGCATTGAGATTCGTGCTCGATCAAAGCAATTTTTGGGGACGTATCAATCCTCTTAATTTTACTCTGCACATCATACCACGGAATGGTCTGGCCACAATTTCTTATCATTTAGAAATAATAATTGACACAACTCACCTTGGTTGATTGAGAGCTTTGACTATCAATCAAGAAATTTCGAAAGCTTTGACTATCAATCAAGAAATTATTGCATAATAATAAGATTAGGAAGTCACTTTAGTGTTTGAAAGTAGTATTGATTAGCAAGCTAATTAATTATACCAAAAGTTAGCCTGCTAATTAATTTTTGATTGGAGATCACTACCAATTATGTGATTTGTGTTTGAATTTGACTTAATTGACCTATGCCTCAAAATAAGAAAAAACAGTCGTAATGAAGAACTCCAAAAATCAGTGTGATGGCTATTAGAAGCTCTTAATATTTTTTAGAAAAAAACATTCTATAAAATCGTAAATAATTTTCAAAAATCTTAGGCTCCGTTTGGGACTGTTTCCTAATTGTTTCTTACAACAACTTTCTAGTACAAAAATTTTAGTACTAAAAATCTGTTTTTAGATGCAGACAAAAAAAACTGTCACAAACGAATCCTTAATTTCTTCATAACATGCATATAACTAACAGAACAGCTGCAACCATAACAAATAAAGGTCGCTAACTCCATTACTGTTACAGTTTTGCTCTGTCTCTCTTTCTGAGAACTAACAGGAAGTCAAGTTTTCTACTTATAATAAGTGATTTTGAATGAACAGAGAAGATAGAGAGAGTGTTCAATATTGGGATTTTAGTTGAAAAGAATCAAAGTAGCTGTTGCTGACACATCCATACCTACAAGTTCAGTGGATTAGGTGGGATCAAGGAAACTTAATATGCTTTGTTAGTAAAGAGTAGTAGCAAAGCATAACAAATATACAATAGTGAAGTTACTAACTTTTGGTATAATTAATTAGCTGGCTAATCAATACTACTTCCAATCAGGAAAGTGACATCCTAACCTTATTATTATGGAGTAGTTCAAGTAATAACTTTAAATCTTGCAAACATGTCCAGGAGTTTAGGGCATCTCCAATCGAAAAGCTCATTTTTCGCTTCAAAATGAGGAAATACTTCAAAATACGACTTTCTAAAAAGCTGCTTTAAGGAGTTGTTAAAAATATCGTCTCAAACGAAGCTGCAGACAGATGTCACAAAACAACCAATAGAATTATGAAGATGACCATTATAGCAATCAAGGTTAGTGAATATTCATTCACTGTAACTGTTCAAAAAGAGTGCAAAACCAAATTCAAAAATAGAGAGAAAAAATTAGAAAATAGAAAAGAAGAATGGTTTCAAATGGATCATCTCTATTGCCAACCATGACAGAGTGAAAAACTAAAAACCTTAGCTTGATGAAAACTAGTTAGAAGCAATGCCAAAATTAAACAAAAATTCAAATAGAAGGGAAAAATACTTATCAAAGTCCTCCAAGAATTCCTTTAAGCTAGATAATGAAGTAGCAAACTAGAGAGTGCTCGTGTTGAGCAACAATTTAGCTCAATGCTTCAAGACAAAGATGATCAATAGTGATTTTGAAAAGTCAGAAGATCTATGAGACGAAAATAATTGTGGGAAGAAAATGGAGAACTTATCTGTGCGGACACCGAATCATTCGGAGGCGAATCAGAGCACACACTGTCACCTGGTACATAGTGGGTATACAACTGCGGTACACAGCAAGGGGGATATGTGGCGTGCTCTAATTTGCCTCCGGACGACGTCCGGAGTCCGCACAAAATAATTTTTCAAGAAAACGATTTATAGAAAACTGTGATTAACACACAAAAAAAAAAATGATATTGAACTTTTTCTAAACTAGGGAGCGATAATACCATGTCAAAAAAGTTATAATAGCAATGCACTTTATTCAATAGAATGATATGTTGATACAAGTGTGCTTATATGTATAAGAGAGTAATAAAGAAAAATACAATGAATTAAAATATGCTTAATAATTATGATATATATCATAATAATGATAATATATGGCTTCCTACTATAAATATTAGTCATATGTTGTAATATTTATGTGACAATGAATCACTCCAACAATTATAATAAAAGAGATTTTAATAAAAGTGAAGAAATGAATATCAAAGAAAAATCTTTCTGTCTTCACTCACAATCAAT